TTGCAGACGCACGTAGCCATGTCTCAATTGAAAGTATCTTTGATTAACGTTCTGTACGCGGGTAATCTGACACGCGATGTGCGCAAATTGATTATAAACATGAAAAACGATCAAACGTGTACGTTCACACCCACGCCCGCGCTCGGCCGCGCGAACGATACTATCGTGCTAATCAGCCTGCATTCACGTGCACCCCTTACGGACTCGACATTCTTATCCCGTACCTTATCGTCAGATTATCATTTGGTACTGTATTGTATCCGTACGAGGACGATAGTGAAATGTTTAGCCGGCCCGCCCACGGCGGCTAGTCGCAAAAGTGCGAAAAATGCCGATGCTCGCGCGGTCGTGGACAAGCGTGTAGAAAGTAGAATTAAGAAGGCCGAGCATCGATCAACCGAAGGAAATGCGAGTGAAAATCCACATCCGGCATGTTACACTCAAACCCGTACTCGGATCACCGAATCAAGTTAGGGAGGTAGAAAAAAGACGCCGATCCAGAAACAATCGAGACTGAGACTGTGTCGAGTGTGGGATTCGTGTCGCCTTATTATCCTTTATTGCTCGAAATCCCGACAACTTTTTTATTTACGCGGCTCTCTCTCTCTTTCTCTCTCTCTCTCTCTCTCTCAAACACATCTCATGCTTCCTCGAAAAGCCCCCTTGGCCCTCTTAGAAAATTATCACACGCGGGGAGGAAAATACATAATCGGGCAGGAAGAAAAAAGCCGCCTCTGTAAGCCGGTAATTTCCACACCTTTGTGAAATTACGCTGTCTCGTAAACGCCACCCGCTGGCGCGTGATGTTACGACTGGATCTACTTCACATTAATTATCCTCCCTCCTCGACTTCCTTCGTGCGGCATCGACAAGCGAAGCGGAGCGAAGCGGAGCGGAGCGGAGCGCGGGGGTATCGGGTGGCATCGTGTCGGCTGTAACACGTGCACACACGTGCGCAGGGCTCGACTTGACGATTTCTCGGGGCCCTTAATCGTGTAGCGTCGAAGCCCCTGAATCTGATTTATCGGTTATCGCCGATAATACCTACGAAGGGTGTATACGCGGCCGATCCATCACTCTCTCGCGCGCTCGAATTATTCGGGATGCATGAGCGACGCTGTTGCCGCACACTTCTCAGAGGACAAGGAGCAGGAAGGGGGCAAGGGGGAGGGCTAAGAGTACATAAATGTACATAAATGTTGATGTGAGTAATGGCGCGCACGTTGTGCACAGGGCGATCTCGGTAAAACGGTCTTCGCGTAATGGATGCTTATGAGGCATACACGAGGAAAGATAAATCGCTCGAAACACATGAGCATACGCGAGTCGCTTATTTCGCGAGCGATATTTCGAAAATTTATTCGTACCTCTGGGATAAATATTATCAGCACCTCGGCATCGTCCTAACGAACAAAGTTAATGCTTCGTGTTTTATCGCGCGCATCATTCCCCCCTTCCTCCCCGGATGAATCTCGAATAGACTTCATCGCGGGGCAGATCGTGACTACGGAGTCACTCGACGCTAAAAGTTGAAGTATCTCTGATCTTTTGACAGTGTAAAGCTCGTTTGAGAAATCGACAGAGGGAGGGAGCAACGACCATCCTGAGGCGTCCTGTACACCCGACTGGAATTCGCGTTGAAATAACAAAATATACGGCACTCGCGTTCTAACGAATAATTTCAATAGTCCAATTAGCGCGACGACGGCGACGACGGTGAAGGGCGCATCGATCATAAAAAGGGTTGATCCAATTACCGACCGATATTCGGACGTGTAAACTTTTTCCGTTAGAAAAAAAAATGTTTCCGATCGAGCGAGAGTCGGTCCTGCTCTCTCTCTCTCTCTCTTTCTCTCTTTCTCTCTCTCTCTTTCTCCCTCCTCTTCCTCTCTCCGCGTCTCGCATACACGCAGAAGTCCTGCCATAACGAATCTCGGTCCAGAAGGGCTTGTGGGTATTGTCGATAGGGACACCTCGATAGAAGGTGGTAGTAGGAGGATCCGGTCCATTAGTTACCACAAGTCGCTCGTCAAACAAGCTCCCGCATACGTAATGCACGGCGATAACGTCGCGTCGCGTCTCGTAATAACGCATAATCGGGTGATGCGTTTCTCCCCGCACTCTTTCGTTCTCGCCGGAGGACTATTATTCGCCGGTGAAAAAATGTTGACAATTCGCCTGAGGCTGTGCGCGCACCAGCCAAATCACCTCATGACGTTGAGATAAGTTTTTAACGTTGCGTAGTAGCGAGTGAATTTTATATCGAACAGCCCTGCCGTTTCAAACGTTTCGGGAATTTCGAATTATTCACTTAAAGGGGCAAGGATTAATTACAAGCGCGTAAATATCGGGCTTGGATGTGTCGCGCTGTGTGTGTGTGTGATGCTGTGTTTTGTTTGAGAAATAGATTTGTGTTTTCACACGGCATATATTAAGCCGAGCGCGTCTACATTTCCTACGAAGCTATTTCAGACTTGTCTATCCTTAATTGATGCACTCGACTCGCGCGTCATTACAAAAGATACAAATAAATTGTTTAAACGATTCGATCCGGGTGAAAGCTTCGTCCGGGACAGAATATCGGACTCGTGTGAATCGTATTGGCGCGCGAGCACGAATCGATTCGTGCGTTGTCAGAAGTAACGAGCAACCAGTTCGCCGTTGCGTTTTGTTTTCAACTATCTTCGGTTATCTTTACGCGCTCGTGATAATTGCCCGCGAAGAATAATTTGTATTTCACATTAATCGCGAGTGCGGACGTGCGCTACTCCGCGCGTAGAACGACATTTTGGCAGTCTTGCGGACGTCCTATTCTCGCCGAATTCTTGGCAGCGACGCGGTCAAAGAATATCTTCGGGATTCTCGTACAAGTCAGCGCGATGCTGGGACACGGTAGACCGTTTCGCGGTAGATTATTGCTTTTGTCTTCGTCCCTCGCCCCTCCCCCCCCGTCTCGCTGCTCGTTATGTAACTTGACTTCGCGCGTTTCGTCGCGGGTTAAACTCCGCGACGAAATTTCCCCTCGGAAGAACCCTCGACGCGTTCCTCGGTCTTTCGCGCGGAACCAAACTCGCGGTAAGCGCGATATTTTTCCACCTTTCCCGAATGCGTAGTCTGTATACTAACGACACGCTCGTGAAACTTATTCCGATAAGTTACTTCGTCCAATTGTCTCATAAATAACACGAGACCCAAACGCGCGCGCGCATCTGTCAGGAACACTCGACTTCCCGGCGTTCTCACGTGGTAATTGATGGGTACACGTGCAGTTAGGTGCGGAAAGGAAGCTTAGTAGGTACATCGCATTCAGATTAGGGTATCTCACGGTAAAGGGCCGGGTGCGTCGCGCGTCTGCGCTCGCAGACGCAGTCCGGACTCGAAACGCGGGCGTGAAGCGCCGGCTATTTGTCTGTCTCTCGTTTTGTCGACGATGGGTCCCGTCCCTAGAAGGCGGCATCCGCGTCCTCGGGAACGTATGATCGATGAAACGCGTATGTCAACGTCTCACTAGCGAGCACCGAACGATGTCGTGTCTGAAATCGAGCCGGGAAGTCTCTCAGCGCGTTGTCGCGGGGGAACGTTGCGAGGAATCGTCGGTAAATGTCGTGCCGACATTTTTAAGGAGGGTGCGCGCGCTCCACATCTTCGAAATCAATTCTTTTTCATATTAATTTTTCAAATTAATTTTTTTCGAAATTAATTTTTTTAGAAAAGACGAGCAGAGAGGTAGATGACGATTTAGATGCACGGGATAGATTCTGTTTTTTTTTTTTAGAAATGAATCGGCGGTATTCAAATAGAATACACATACATATTAACGTTCAATATTGCACAATTGAATGATATTGGTTGTCTTGCCAAGGTTCTAAATTTGTAAGCTTAAACTTTTGAATGGATTTGCTAAATTACTTTGTGTCGACGCCGCTTGTACGAGTGTAATTATTTTTTATACAGGCGCGTTATAATTTTTCAAATAATTATTCTATCGATGTTACGTATAGAATCGGTTAAACGTAACTTGGTTTACGGCGCGATTTCCTTCGCCCGCAGTGTCTACCTTTTCGGTAGAATCTCTGGGATTCTCGGGCCGTAATAGAGACGTTGAAAGATCCGGACTGGTTAAGCCGTGGTCGTATCGACTGTGTGATCGTTCGGAGGGCGTGGTGTCGATACACTGGAAGATCGTTTGACACAAAAGCCGATCCGCTTCCTCCGGGCCGTGTTATTAACTCAACATATCTTCACGTTCGGTCTCACGATCGAGAATCGAGCGAGATCAATCGGGCGCCTTCATTCCTGACGCTCTCGAAACTCCCTTTCAAACGTGCCGAACAATTTATTACTCTTTTACTTTCTCCGCTATCTTCTTCCCGCGGCTCTCTATATATCCGCCTGCGGATGATTCGCTATCGTCGAGCGATAGCTCAGAGTCACTGGGCGCAACGTATGAGCTACGTATGAGAGCGAGTAAAAGGAAAGAAATAGACAAATCTTTACACGAAATTGTGTCGACACGTATAAAATTTTGCATCTTTTTATCTCACAAAGACATAAAAGGTAGAATTTACATGACACAAGCATGTAGCATATAACGGTAGAAGAAAAACGGGCACCACTATCGCCACCACTTCGAAATGCTGGGGAATCGGTACTATTGTGAGAAAAGGGACAATGCTGGGTTGTTCGGTGAAAGATGTCATCGTACGTATCTTTCGCTTGAAAGGAAAAGCGGACGGGACAAGGGAGAAAAAGAAGGCCCGTTACACACACACACACACACACACACACACAGCGCACAGCGCACAGCGACTCTGAAAGGTCAATGAATGGAGAGTCTTATTGCAGTCTCGTGCAACTTCACTACACATGGCCCATTCACACACGTGCTACGCACGGCGCGTAGCCCACGTGACACGTGACAGCCTTGACGTTCCATTCAGCTTGGCGCCGCCGCGCCGCTCCGAGCTCTGACGGTGAATTTTGGGTTAGCCTGTACATACCTTGCGAGGTTTCAAGGCGTGCACCAGCTTCGGTCGTAAACACTGCTGCGCCAAGAGGAACGTGACGGAAGCGGCGGCCAACAGCCCGGCACCCTTCTGGAACTTCCTCAGGCCACTGTCGACGCGCCACGAGGCGTACGCACGCGTGACATCGCGAAAGTGCCGTGCGAACGGCGACACGCGTCGCAACGGACGAAGCAACGTCGCCATATTCGACACGCGTGGCTAACGCATGCGTCGTGCTCGCCTGTGTCTGCCTACAAACGTCAGTATTTCCTGTCACAGTGTACAGTGCCGTAGCGAAGAATTTTTCCTCCCGGGACGAGAGAGGAACGAGAGAGAGAGAGAGAGAGAGGTTCACGAATCGAACCTTTTGTGAAACTTATAGCTGAACATATTCGGTTCAGACTTTGATGGCCTTCGGTGACAACTCTGATTTATGCTCGTGTAGATTTATTCTTCTCCCTCGATTGTGTTTTGATAACGTTGCGAATCAGAACCGTTGACCGCTCGACCTAGTTCCTTCTCGACGGGAAAAAAAGGAGAGAGAGAGAGAAAGAGAGAGAGAGAGAGAGCAACAGAACGGACAATTCAAAGATTGTCAAATTCTCTGAGGATGAAATTATAAACAACTTGAAATAACGGTTAAGAATATAACCGTTTTTCAGTCCCCTGAAATCCCGCTCTTTCTCGTAGATTTAGCCCGATTTAGCGATCTGATCGATACTCGAGACGCGAGGAATAATCCAGTGGTGTGATTGCTCCTTCACGTCAGAACTCGATCTCTGTCCTTCGCGAGACGACTCTTCGGAGCATGCCGTAATCACGCGTTAATTATGATCGCGCTGGATGGCACATAACCACGTGAAACAAGTCGAGGCTACGCGATCGGCCGTGCAGCAATCTTGCTACGTCATTGCGAAAGCATCGAGGACCCGATGATTTAGCCCTATCCCATCCGCCCTTTTCCCTCGCGTTTTGATCTATTTTCCGTGTTTTTAATCAAACGGTTTCTCTGTGTCCGCGCGCGACGGATAATCCGCGCCGTTCGTAGCGTATATACGCAGGCCGAAATTATCTTCAGCCAATAACTCCATACTATCATCCGGCTCAATCATCCGCGGCGTTTAAACGGCCGTGTTACGCACTCCAACTTGCGCCTATAGTTGCCTGGCTGGCAGCCGGTCAAAGTTAGCCGAAGAAGTTATAAATCGTGATGTGAGCTGATCACGAGAGCTCACTTCAAGCGTAATAACAGTGTAATAGCGCGTGAGGATTATTTTCGGTGGATCCAACTGCTCATTTGCGAAAGGGACAATATTGTTCCGCAAGTTGACGCATCCAAGCGGATGACGACTCTTCTGCGTGTTTATCAGAGGCAATTTCGTCGAAAGAGCTCGCGGATCTCTTGCTCGCTTGGGAACCCGTTTCTCTCGAGATTACACGTGTGATACGTACACACGTGTGATGAGTTTGCTCGGCTCGGTTTCGGCCGAGCGATACATTTGTTGCTCGCGATTTTTACGATGTCGGATTCGTGCTCGATTCGGGGGAATCGAAACGTACAGAGTAATTTGGACGGTTTAAGGATTAATCGGCGATTGCCACAAATCGCCGGCGCGACGTGCCCGCGATGTGTTCCTTTCGCCGTTGTGTAGATAGGAATAGAACTGAAGAGGGTCGCGCGGAGACGAAGGACGTTACGTAACGGGACAGAGGCTTCTTCACCCACGTCCCGACGTCGCGTGACGCAACGCGAAAAGAGTTCGTTCGAGTGGCGCGAGTGCTAAAATTACACATGCAGGCTAATACACACGCCGGTGTTGCGCTCTTAATGCGTATCGACGTGTCGTGCAACCGCGTTGAACCCCTACTTGGATTCCTTGTATCTCCCTCTCAGAATAGTAGTCCGCGATCTTTTCCGATGCTAAACATTCCGCGGAAAGTTCAGTATATACCTTCTATATCGCGCACAAACACACAAACACGAGTTATACAATACACAATCCCGGATAAAAATTGCGCACACGGTCGCGCAAGATTTGAGAAATAACACCTAAGAAAAAGTATTCTATTTGTAAAGTGATTTTTCCCATAGTCTCGTACTCTGAGCGAAGCCTTTTACAGGAAAAGGAACTCCTCTCTCGACAAAGCGATTACAATGAAGCATTCACCTCAAATTTATTAGATATCATTCTGTTGTCCTCTTATTTCAACAGGATTTCCTCTTCTACTATTCTCAATTAATTTTCTTTTTATACGAAGAGGAATATGTCGATTTGAATGTCGGTTTCTTTTGTTCAGTCATGCTCTATCTCCAGACGTGAATGAAAAAGTAACCATATGCTCATGGGTCAGAATATTTTTTAAAAACGCTTTTTAAAAAAAGAGTATGTGTGTTACTGTAACATATAACGAAGATAGTTTACCCATATTTGGTCAAATACAGTTTACAATCTATCGCAAGAAGTTCAATAATATATTCTTTCTTTTAACTATGTTTCATACAATTGGTTATGATGAACATTTTTGTAGCTATGAAGTCCGTAACAAAATTGATTGGAAATTTATTTGTTATGATGATTTTACTTTATTCGTGCCTACTTATTGCAGAACTGGAGCCAGAAATACATCTATTATTACTTTTCGCTTCTACATTATAATATTTTTTCCAATTAACGAGTATAACTAGTGAGAATAAAGTACAGTAAGAATAAATAATAATCCTCTTAAAAAAAGATCAAATAATCTGTGTATAAGAGGAAATTTATATTAAAATCAATAAGATTTGCATTATATATATATAACATATAATTCCTCTAACTTTCAGAATAATGTATTTATAATGTTTTTCTCTTAATCTTAGGGAAATCCTCTTGAGGCCACGTGTAAGAATAAAATCCTCTAAAATTTACATGATTTCGCTTGTTCTGCAGTTACTTTTTTTTTGGGTGAACGTAACGACATTTTTATCCATCAGAGATATTCCGTACAACCGAACCAAAGCAATTCTCAAAGTCTTACACGTATAATATTGACTTGAAACACGCTCTTGAATAAAAAGACGAATAATGAGAGCTCAATGCTATAGCGGGTTAAAAAGAGGAGGAGATTGAAAGAAATTATTTGCCGCGGTATATTCCGTATAATCGTTGCGTAGTGGGTGGAAGGGAGGGAGGGAAAATAGTCCTTGGTATCCGAGTGCACAAACAGCACACACAAACTCGCGGATTAAGAAAATACACTTGGAAACTGCGGCGAGCTCGCTCGCTCGCGATCCGCCGGGTAAAAATTCATTTGACTTCATGCCGCAGCTGCCGTGGTCGTCGAGCGCGTACCGAGCTCTGCAACTATCTCGTCGCATATGCAGGACAAGTACATCGTAGCGACCGATTTACCGGGAGCGCGAGGCAAGCGTTAGATTTCTTGTCGCTCTGACGTGAAACGTCGCATCTTCAGGTGCGAAGACCGCTGCGAGTCGAAATATTCCCGACAACGACCGGCCTTCATCATTGACGGAAACGTGGCTTTGTGCTCGCGTTTTTACCGAACAATTAGCCTAACAAATTATTCGACAACTATGTACGTTTGATCAGTGATTATCAACGTACCGAAAAATAAAACAAAAAGTGATCGTTCCAAGTAGGAGAATTGAAAATCAGGTTGCAGATGAGATTATTGACAATCATTATTATGTTGAGTCTGTCACCTGCGACATTTCTCGGACACCCTGTATGTAAGAGGTAAAAAATTGAGCATATCGTGAGAATTGCCCCAAGATGTTTAGGAATTACGGATTCCGGCACGACGTCCTTATAAGGCCTCCGTATCTGCGGGCTTTATCAGCACGCTGGTATCTTCCCTAATTTGAATAATCAAACCCGATACAGCCAATCGACTTATGCTGAGAACGCGGCGGAATGATGGCAGCAATGATTCCGATAAGGGCGCGGGGTGGTATCATCGATATTCACCTAATAAAGTTTGATAGAGCAAAGTGCTCCGTAATACCACCTGTACCACCTGTCTTTACTGCTTGATAAGGATATAAGTGCAGCCCGAGGTTGGAAATGTGCGGGATGCTCCGTCGTCGGCGTATCGATCGTGATGGATATCTGCGATAATGAGTGAATGGCGCTGTGATCTTGCGCGCGAAACGTCGCAAAATGTACGTTTCATCGCGGCCTCTTCAACGGAAGATCGCAAAGATTTATGTGCAGGCATATTCTATTAGCACGATCTCTTGGTAGATCGTGGTTTGACTGAGGAATCACCATTCACGATTATTCAGAAACCGATATGAACCTGGCAAACAATTTAATCGAAAAAACAAAAAATTCTCAATACGGTTCGATTGTACTTCGTTTGTACCCGTTTGTACCTCCCTTCGAATCGTTTGTATCTCAAAAGAACCTCTCAAAAGAACGGAAGTACAGAATTTTCAAAAATCATCCAACAGGTACTTTCGTCAATTTTTGAGATATCACAAAACGGCCAACGCCATTCGAGAAGAGAATCGTTTGTACCTCAAAGGGACCGGAAGTATGAAAGTAACTTTTCGACATATTTTGAAGATCCTGTACTTCCGGTTTCTTTGAGGTACAAACGATTCGAAAAGAGGTACAAACGGGTACGAACGATTCTCTCTCGAATGGCGAGTTGGCCGTTTTGCGATATCTCAAAAATTGGCAAAAGTACCTCTTGGACATTTTTTGAAGATCCTGTCCCTCTTTTCTTTCGAATGGTGTTGACCGTTTTGCAATATCTTATACTTGCTTGCTGGCTACTTTTCCCTCTCCCCTTATCTTTTTACGCTTCAAGGTACAAACGAAACAAAAAGTGGTACAAACAGGTACAAATGAAGTACGATCGAACTGTATTGCGAATTTTTTTTTTATCAAGTTGTTTGCCAGGTTTACATCGCTCATCCAGAAGCCTCGTGGCTCTTTCGTACAGCGATTACTGGAATATTTCACGCGAATATATATATTTTCGCTTACATCGATACTGCATTTTTCACACGTACTTTGTGCATCGCGCAAAGAAGAACGGTCGGGTGCGCTAGAAATAGCTTGTGCTAAAACAGATATTACTACATCACGCGAGTCTTCGTCTGAAACGTAACGAGACGATACAGATAAACAAGTAAACAGGTAGTTTAGATTACATTGAGTGTCCGATATTCATGCTGTAAATTAGAGCTCAATGCGAATCTATTTGCTCTCGCGATTACACTCCGACGAATCGCCGTCGGTCGCATTGTTCCCTACGCTGGACTGTCGTAATAACGTAGCGCCAGCAAGGGTTAGCGAGGCCTGGGCGCGGAAAACCTACGATCCCGATTGTGGGCCCAATTATGAGTAGGGCCGGCGCACGTTTGCCGTGCTTCGGCGGCCGTGGGTCGCGGCCAGTCGGGCCGGAAGACGTTTATTGAAGAACGTTGATTATAAATTGAAATACGCGCGTTGGCCGGGCCGAAGGTCAGGGTTATGGTTATGTTAATAGCGAAGATTATGATTACGGTCATGATCCGTAAGTGGCTAACATAACTGCCACGATAGAGCGAGAGAGAGAGAGAGAGAGAGAGAGAGAGAGAGAGAGAGAGAGGGAGGGAGAGGGAGAGAGAGAGAGAGAGAGAGAGAGTTCGGCGATATACGGAGCAACGGAGGAATGGCCGCGCGCGACGCATTAGATATGCAGGCGCTCTCTTATAAAGCCTTATAAAACGGCCGGTACTGCTTGTTCTGCGACGCAGTAAACATTCCCGAGCTCATACGTGGAAAGTTGGCGCGGTATTTACGCGCACTATAAAACCGAGGCTCTCACTCTCGCGAGTTACGGCGCGGTACAATTATTATTAATATTCGGGACCCGTGGACGAGAGACGTGTACGATTTTCTCTCGTCCCATTCTCTCGCTTCTGCAGATAATTATAACACACTCACACACGCGCGTGTCCTAATATCAGCTGAGATTGTTACATCGAGACCGAACTTTCCAGGACTACATTCTTCGGGAATGCTGCGTAGAGCTCATGTTATTCAAGTCCTTAGATCCGAGGTTGCGAAGTCGCGGACGGAGGGGGGAGGGGGGATACCTTGGTAGCAACACTTTCAACTCTGATCCGAGGTGGATGAATCGCGCGCGATCCCGACGATATGGCCGCCTGGTGTCCGGCGATGCGCTTTTTACTCGGAAAACACGATTATTAAAAGACAATTATATAGGGGGGGCACGAAGATTACGTAAACACAGGGTAAGAGCGCGGACAATGCACCGCAATCTGCGCGATTCTTCCCGTGCGGCAGGGCGACTTTTATGCCTTATCGCCGCATCGATCATTCATTATAGTACCGGCAACAATGGAGAGGAGAGATGCAGACAACAAAGGGGGGTGTGAGTGCTGCTCCATATTCTCTATTTCTGCGCGGCTTGCGGGCCACGAACGCGCGCACGCGCGCGCGTGTGTGTGTGTGTATGTGTGTGTGGGTACATGTACATGTGCGGGCCTAATAGTTTCCGGCGTTCGGCGCGACCGCGCGCATGTATTTTACGCTTGTTTACGTCCCGGCTCGATGCCGATGAGCCGTTTACTTTACATTAAGCAGCGCGCGGTCCTAGCGAGCGATCTGTCGTGGCAGCGGGAATACATTCGCGCGCGTCACGCGCGCGTAATTCAACGCACACGCGTCAAAGAGGCGCGCATAATTCATAATTACGAGGTGGTTGGTGCGGTACAAACGAGTTGGTCGCACGGCCCGATAAATCTGATTTAAAGAAAGTCTATCTTTTAATCGGTAGAGCTGCGCGCGCGCGAGCGAATCCGCGCCGCAGATGATAAGTCGTATCCAGTTTTACTCTCCGGACAGCGATTACGCATGTCCGTTGCGAATACGCGAAGATTTATCGCGAATGCATGTAAGAAGTTAAATTATTCTAATAAGCACGTGTATCCACACAGTGTGCGTACGCGCAAGCGATAACCTCGCACTAATCCCGCGCTAATCCTGCTAAAAGATGAAGAAGTATATCTCTCTCAGCGATCTGTGCAAGGTTACGAAGCACGGTAGGAAGTATACATTAAATGTATTAATAGAAAGTAATGCGTATAATGCAACAAGTTAACACGGAAAAACGCTATTTATCACCTAAAAATAAAGTAATTTCAGGACAAACAGATTCATCTAAATTTTGGAGAATTTTATTCTTATATATGGCCTGAAAAAAATGTCTCTATTAATCTCTAGATTAAAAGGAAAATATTATAAACAGATTATTCTGAAAGTTAGAGGAATTATATGTTGTATATATAATGCAAATCTTATTGATTTTAATATAAATTTCCTCTTATACACAGATTATTTGATCTTTTCTTAAGAGGATTATTATTTATTCTTACTGTACTTTATTCTCACTAGTTATACTCGTTAATTGGAAAAAAATATTATAATGTAGAAACGAAAAGTAATAATAGATGTATTTCTGGCTCCAGTTCTGCAATAAGTAGGCACGAATAAAGTAAAATCATCATAACAAATAAATTTCCAATCAATTTTGTTACGGACTTCATAGCTACAAAAATGTTCATTATAACCAATTGTATGAAACATAGTTAAAAGAAAGAATATATTATTGAACTTCTTGCGATAGATTGTAAACTGTATTTGACCAAATATGGGTAAACTATCTTCGTTATATGTTACAGTAACACACATACTTTTTTTTTAAAAAGCGTTTTTAAAAAATATTCTGACCCATGAGCATATGGTTACTTTTTCATTCACGTCTGGAGATAGAGCATGACTGAACAAAAGAAACCGACATTCAAATCGACATATTCCTCTTCGTATAAAAAGAAAATTAATTGAGAATAGTAGAAGAGGAAATCCTGTTGAAATAAGAGGACAACAGAATGATATCTAATAAATTTTAGACGAATGGTTCACTTTAATCGCTTTATCGAAAGAGAAATCCTTTTTTCTATAAAAGGCTTCGCTTAGAATATGAGACTATGGGAAAAATCACTTTCTAAATAGAATACTTTCCTTGGAGTAATTTGAAACGACGCGAGCAATCTTTTCTATTAGTTTCATTTATTCCAAAACTTGAGCGGTAGATGCATCGTATTTCCTTTCTCGAGGACTTACGTATTTCATTCCCATCGTCTCACTTTCAAATTCAATTTTCAAGAGGGACCACTTATTTACAGGACGATTCGAATTGACTCGAATTAATCGCCACGACAAACGATGAATGTCTATAAATTTTACTTGATATATCGTCTTCTCTGCAATCGGATCGTATCCGGAATCACTGCGCGAACAAGTTAAGCGCACGGCGATTCATTTCGCACGCGCCCGCTCGCGATCTGCGTAATTTTTCCGCGACAGCTTTTATGACTGTGTCTAAACGCACGATCGTTTACGCGTCGATAAGTTTATAACGAGTAATCCTACATTATGCGTACTTACCTGTCAGCACTCCGCGCGAGGCTGCATTAAACATTTCACTCGGCCGATCCGGACATCGCAGCGATTAAATTCGTTAATCCCCTGCTCGAGACGCCTTGGCTAAGAAGCGGGGTTCCTTTTCTTTCTTTTCTTCACACTAAAAATATCGTATTTTGCCGCATTTTTACGGACAGAAAATTTGCATCGCAAACATTATACGACTCGCGCTCGCCGTATAATTTAATCGCCCATGTAAAATATCGCTTGCAATTTCTCCTCAACTTGTAGTTACGCGAAGCGCGGAACAGCGTGCTCCGAGGAATTAGAAGAATAATTTCATGCAGCATTTGCAATGTTACACGTTATGTTGTACCCCTCACCGCTAATGAATCACCTTCGTTATCATCTTAGTTAAGTCCTCGTCTTCGTTAACCGAATGAAAGTACACGCACGCGCACGCGATGAGGTGTACGAAGTCGAGATTGAAAAGAACAACGCAGCTTTGTATTCAATAATATTTCTTTTATTACTTCTAAAAATTATATGGCGACGATATGGTGGGGTTCTGCGTCCAAGAAGCGAGAGAGGAGACGAGAGCGAGACGTGCGTTCGAGAATCGATCGGCTTCGCGGGCAATTCGCCTCGTCGACTCGTTCATCAAATTTTTTCCCATATCTCTCGCTCCGCCGCATCTGCCGCCCCGCTCCTCGTCCTCTTTCGCGAAGGCGACGATAAAGAAGAAGTGCGGCACCTCCTTGGGAATAGGACAGAAGAGGAAGGGGGAATTGTGGATTCTGAATCATATCACAAGGTAGCGTCGAGATTGGCGGTGTTTTGGTTAAGAGAGGACAAGTCGTCGTCCCGCGGCCGATGTACTCGAGCTTGTCTTCGGCTCGTAGAAGAGTCATACACCGAGCAGCGGCGGTAGTGAAATTCCGATCGATCGATCAATCAGCGCGGCCCCATCGCTCGTCATCAGAGAGTTTTAACAATTAAATACTCGTCTCTAACCTTAATAGTTTCTCAGTCTATGAAAATTAAATACATCTTAAACATGGCAGTGCTAGACTGGTTACGCTGCGACCTCCGAATCCGGAATTGTGCCGACGCGCCGATGCGATCGTGCTTGCGTATCGTATTTTGTCACGTACATGAAGCTTGTTGCTTGTTGTCGCATTATCCCGTAATATACGACGTTTGAGGAACGTTAGCGAGCGAGGTGTTTCGTTGTCGTCGGCGACGTGGACGGAGATGAAGCAAGGTGGTGTGTTCGTAGCGACATCGTGAGTCGCGTAAGAACGCGACGATCTCTCCCGATATCGTTGCATCCCTAGAGCTAATCTGAAAGCGCAATTAGCATCGGAGATTACGTATCCGCGGCCTGCGAGAGAGCGCTTCCTCCCTCCGCGTCGCTAATTATTTCAGCAATTAGCCGTTTCGATAAGCATCGCACTCACGCATCCGCGTACACCTTCCCGAAAACATTCGCAAACATTGCCGCCTCATTTATCCCGTTAGACTCGCGCAGCTTGAGAGCGCAATCTCGCAAGAGCTGTCTTCGACTCTTAATCCCATCGAGCCACTTGTCTTATCTCATCCGCCGGAGTACGCATGCTTTACTGAGACGATTCGGAATCCGTTGAAAATATCGGCGCTCGCGTATCGAAACACACACACACACACACACACACACACACGGCGTCGTACCGAGAGAATGTTTTCGTTTTTTTTACCGTAGAAGTCTCGTCAAGTTTGATACAACGAGCGCGGTATATGCAGTACAGCAAGCGCGTGCTGTATGTATGTGGTGCGTTGCGCACGCGGAAGTAATTTACTTCCGCGGAATTTAGAACTCGAATAGCCTAGAAAACGCAGGGATCGTTACGCGATGATGCATTGTTAGGGCGCATTCACACCTGGGCGGAAAAGCAGAAAACAGAACAGCAGAAGCCAAGAGAGTGACAGAGAGAAAAACTCTCGCGAGAGACAGAGAGAGAGAGAGAGGGGGGGAGGGAGAGAGAGAGAGAGAGAGAGAGAGACACAGACTATCAGCGCCATTTGGTTGCTGCCTTTCTGCTTTTTGCTTTTCTGCCCAGGTGTGAATGCGCCCTTACCTAGGGCTGAAGACGCTCGTCGAGTAGCCGTCACTGCGCGAATCATTCTCCGAGACTCCCTCACAATGACGCGTCTGCCGAAAGGGTTGCGATCGCTTCGAAGATTTTTGTGACTTGCCTCATGTGGCGTTATACGGAGCACGAAAATAGTTTACGGCATTTGGTATGCTGATTTGAACACGAAGAGAACACGCGCATCGCGTGTCGCGCGTCGCGAAGCGGTCCAGTTCCAGTTCCGGCGGAAGTAGTAGCTCACTTTGCCAGCGACTATTATCAAATGTACGACATAACGAGCTCCATCGCGCATGGGAAACAACTTGCTTTGCGAAACGCGACCGCGTGGAGTATTCCGATATATCACCGCGAAATTGCATTTCACGATTAAGCGAGAGAACAAATAATTCCTGAGGCATATCTGCTTTCCAACTTCCATTTTCGTAAGGTTCGCGCGTTGCATCGCGCTTCTCATTTTTCCGCGGAGTTTCACCATTGTATCGAAAGCCGTTTTCGCGAGCATAGGTGCGACAGCAAAGGAGCGACGTTACCGTGATATTTTCGACGGATTCGTGCACCCACAAAAGGACAGACACAACATACGTAGAACACATGATCGATGCGCATGATTGACGAGTAATGATCGTAGACTTATGTACACGGAGAGTCAGCTGTTTACAATATATAAATAAGTCTTTAATAAATACGCCACTATGTAAAAACAGGTCGCTTCTACGAAAGAAAGAGGAGAGAAGAGAACGGAAAAAAAAGAGAAAAAACGCAGCGAGGTCGAGACACAACTCCCCTCCGTACAGATGCGATGAGACAGACGAACAGACGCGACGGCTTCTTCGTCGGTGGTCGAGACGAATCCTTCGAGCGGTATTCGATGATCGAAAGGAAGTTTCCGCGGGTGTTCGATCCGTCACGGAGGATCGCGAGCGTAAAAATCCAATGTCGGCCGAAACGCGCGTCGGGTTTCCAAAATATTTCTCTCTTCTCGCCTATGCGCGGCTTTAATCTCGCGAGATTGAGACGCTGAAGAGTATTGGAAGCAATAAGCGTGTTCTTCGCGGATATCGATCCGTCGTGGAAGACTTTGGCGGGCACGTTGGAGACCGCTCGTAGCGTAAATCAGAAACGAGCGATCGCTCGTTCGGGATAATTGAAATTCCCCGGATGAAGATTGTCGTCGACGTCGCGAGGCGCGTACTGTGCGCAAAGGTCCGAACTGTGAGAAAAGTACAGTCGAGTACAGCCGTAAGTGGACATTGCAATTAGGGCCCTTCCTTCATTCATCGGCACTATCGAGCGAAACGAGTCTCCGAGGATCGTATCGTTTCGCTCGCGCGAGCGACAACGATCGAGTGGATGGAGGAGAGGCCGAGCGACCGGCCTGTGCAATTTGTGTCGAGCCGATTAATCGCCGTACGTGCTAAACCGGGGCAGCGTGCCACTCTCCGCTCCGTTATAAATACTGAGATTACATCGAACGAATTTATTCTACGCGTCTCGAATTATATGTACGCCGTCCGTCGGAATTGCGTCTCATTGCGCGCTTGATTGCGAAATTGCGGCAGACAGACTCGCGCAATCCGCGCCGAATCACTCGCGCGGCAGCTTCCCCCTCCCCTCGCCCCCGCCGCCGCCGCTCTGGCTCGCGCCCTGAAATGTCCTTTCTGCCAGTCGTACGCGCCTGTTGAATACGCTAGTTGAAGAAAGAAAAATATTACGTTCGTCGCTTAATCTTCGACGAGACGTCATTTTTCTCGCGAGGCTACCAATGATCGACGCCGGACGGTTCATTACCCCGCCCCCCTCCCCCCGCCCTCCCATTTAGTCGGACTGATTTCTGCTACCGTCTCGAGAGGAAAATCGGCCTGCGTGTTCGCCGATCGAGCCGATTCCATCGCCCATACGCGCCATTCCCTCTTTTCACGTCGCTTATTATCTGGTCTCCTACGCACTCCTCGCTCGCTAAAATACTATCGTATAATTGCTTAGGCTTAAACGCTAATCGTACTAGCTAGGATCAAGTTCGCCAGTAATATACAAGGAGTTTCCTGCGTCGATGTACGGCGAGGTGAGAGCGATTCGTGTCGAGTCGATCGAGAGAGGAAGAGAGTAATGATTTTGCATACACACGCACACACACACACACACACACACACACACAGTATAGGCATTCCAATGAAATCGAGTTTAGAATAATGTCCTAATCCGACAATTTGATTTAATAATCTCTGTAGACATTGTTCTCTTCCTAATTTGCGTACTGATAACTCGCGTCTAGTTTCTAGAAATTATTTACTCCTACTCTTGTGTATCTTTAGCGTAAAGAAACACGATTATTGTTTTTTTTCTTTCGGGTCTTATTCGTTCGACGTGATAATCGCGTTGAGGAACGTTAGATCAGACAGCCACACTTATCACTAAGTGTGTGACGGGAATACGTACCTAGTTTGTCACGCGCTGGAAGTACTCTGTAGTTATTAAACTATTGAAGGTGTATCACTGAGACGTTAAAAACACTATACAAAAAATTAAAACAATAATAAATAAGAAATTCGCGATAAATTTTCCTCCTTAAATGCAGATATCGTCTGAATGACTTTCGAAGTAAATGCAAGATAATGCATGCAGTAAGAGATATCTCCGCCACCGTAATTACCCCTTTTCGGATAACGAGCGTAAGAAACAGCCTCGCCGCGCGACGCTGTGCGCAATCGAGGACTCTTCGCTTTCGCCGATATTCATCGGTCCTCGACACGAATCGCGGTCTCTTTCCCGCCGTGAACGTTGCGCTCGAGGACCGACATCGAGTCGATTTCGGTGAAGCGCCAATTTTCTACCGTTACGAGTTATAACTTGAGTCACATCTTCCGCGTCCCGCGAACTTTATCATCGACAAACTCTCTGAGGCTTCTCAAGTTCATTGATATAAATATACGTTATCAAATCGAAAAAAATTCTTTTTTTTTCAATTTTTATAAAATTTATACTTCGCGAGAACGATGCGAAACGTTCGCATCGTTCTCGCGTCAAAACTATATGTTTAAAAATAATTATTCGCTGTTTCTCTTTTTTTTCTTTTTTAATTTGTTTGTACGGAGTGAATAAGAGAATATTATTCGCATGATTTCGTTGAAAGCGATTTTGGCGCAATCGTCGTCACAGTTTTATCGTGCATTTTTGACATTTCAATTCATCTTCGAGATTTTCATTTCACTCTTTTGATTTGAGCGTCGCTCTCATCATCGATCAAGTTGCTAGGAAAAATAGGAAAAAAGTTGTCGATGATCGACTTTGAAAAGTTGAAGAGCGTACGTACGGGAGGAAAATTGCATCTCACCGAAATACGAACGCGCGTCGGGCCTTCGCGCGATGAGTATCAAAGTTCCGGCGCACGACGGCGGGGGTCGTGAGCTCGTCAGTACACGAATGTGGGAGTAAGTCGTAACGTAGAATGCTCGCGTATGTACACGTAAGTTTACAATGACGTTGGCGCACACACAAATCAGCCTCCAGCCATCCGCGGGGTGTCTCACATCGCCAGTCTGTCGAAGGGGAATCTCATGCTGGTGTCGTCGTTCGTACCGGAGCCACCACCGTCTTCGCCGTCCTCTTCGAGCAGGCCGAGCGGCCTCGTCAGCTCGGCGATGGGCTCGCACGAGGTTGTCGACGAGGTGGTGGTGGACTCTGCCGTTCCGTCGCTCGCGACGGACGACGAGGGCGGCTCCTCGTTGGTGAGCGAGGAGTCCGACAGCGAGCCGGAGAAGTCCTCCGTAGACTTCTGCCAAGGCAAAGACGAGATAGGAACTGTGGGAGACGAAGGTGGGAGAGGAGGAGGAGGAGGAGGAGGAGGAGGTGATTTCGTCGTGGTTTCAGGAACTTTGGTAGTTGACTCCGGTGGACTCCGGTGCGGCGCCGTCTCGCTCCTCGGGGTCGTCGACGTCGACCTCGGGCGGCCGGGCAAAGCCGCGGCACTCGAGAAGGACTTTCCTACCCTGCGCGACGAACCCAGCGGCCTCGCGGCGGCACCGTTTCTCGAAGACTGCGCCGGCGGTGGCTTCTTACGACCAGGCTTCGAAGAGGCCGGCCTTCTGACGGAGGGAGCGGTCGATGCACCAGGAGGAGACGGCGAAGAGGACGACGCCGTCGAGGCCCGCAGCTCGCTGGTCGGCGGCGCCGTTAGCGACGAAGAGGCCTGGGACGACGACGTCGTGCCAAGCGCGTACCGCTTCTGGGACGACGACGTCGGCTCGGCCGCGCTCCCTCTCGGCTGCGTCGTCGCCGGACGCTTCCTCTTCTTCTTCTTCCCGTCCGTCAAATCAGGCTTTTTACTTTGACTGTCGCCGCCGACGTTTGGCTTTTTCGCGTTTGACGTTGGTGCTTTGTTGTTCTTACCGTTGCGCGTGAGGTTCCTGTCGACCCCGACGACCGCCGCGGCCGGGTCGCAGTCTATCCGCGACTTCCGCTTCTTCGCCGGCACCGAGAGGGCCTGTCGCCTGCAGGCCTCCTCGCTGGCCGCCCCCTCGCAGGACCTCTTGGATTCCGGCGCGGTGCATCCGACGTTGCTGGCGCTCTCCGGGGACGCGTCGGCGTCCGTCGCTTCCGACGTAGTGGCAGCCGCGGCGGACTCCTCGGCGAGTTGGCACTGAGGACCGGGCGGTTCGTCCTGCCTGCAGCGTCGTTTCCGCTTCTTCCGCTTCTTCCGCTTGCGGCACCTGTACTTGTCCCTGCCGTCCTTCTCCTGCATCGGTAAGCTCGGGCAGTTGGGCTGTTGCTGCTGTTGCTGTGTCACGTCGCCGTGCTGGCCGCGATGATGCGCGCGGTCGTGATGCCGATGGCGTACGTTGTGCTCGGCGCCCATCATTCGCCTGTGCAGGGCCTCCACGCGATCGGGCGGCGTCACCCGCGTCAGCACCCTCGCGTAGGCCGACAACCTGCCCAGGTTGTCCTTGCCTTTCGTTTGCACCCGCCTCGGCTGGCCGAAACGGTTCAGGCCGAGGTACATGGTCTTCTTCCCCGTGGACCAGCGCACCGAACTGTACGTGTTGTAGTTGTGCTGCTCCAGGTTTTCGTTGAAGACGCACTCGTCTGTGCTCTCGCGCTGAAACAGAGTCAAGTGGTCCTTCTTTGAAAACTGAGCGAACTTGGATCGGGTTTGAATGGAGGTGGACTTGAGGTGGACTGTCAGTGAGGCGAATTTAACGAAGACGGAAAGTTGGCTCTTCGTAGAAGTATTTTAGTCAAAAGGGCCAGTGAGAGTCGAGCGCGCTTTACGGCTTGTAATTTGCTTATATCTGATTGTTATTATTTATATGAAGCTTATATATTTTTTTAATATTACCTGAATAGAAAAATTAACAAGGCTCTCTGGTAAGGGTCTGATTATTTTTCGCTAACATTACAATCGGCCCTGAGTAGGGATAGAAAGATAAGGGCTTTATAAGGAAATATTAACAGGGCTTTTACGAGCAATGGGCAATATCCGTTCTTTCCATTCCAAAAAATTTAGACTGTAATTTCTTTATTTCTTTGTATAACCTTGTTGGTATGCAAGAAGAATTTTTTATTTTAAAAATATAACATACTTTATAATAAAATATAGCGTTCTTCACACATAAAAATCCTGCTACTGTTTTTATTAAAGTTTGCTGCCTTTCGAAACAAAGACAGTACTAGAAAAATCCTTGGAAAAGACTAATAAAACTAATAAAATTTGTTTTTAATCGCGGTATAATTAAAAAGTCTTTAAAACAACCAGATAAAGAGCGTACTTACTGAAACAATACTAAACTATGACAATTTTATTAGACGCTTCAAATCTTATTTATTTTCTACAACAAAACTTGATTTTGTATATCTAAAGCATCCTTAAAAAAGATCCTTCTAAGGCCCGCATCAGTTTTCCATGTTAAAGCGTTATTTCGCAAAAGCTAAGGCATCTCTAAAAGATCCATCTCGGGGCTTGATGTGGTAATAATGAGTCACCTTTTTCAGGGCACCCTACTTTCAGCTTTATCGGGGCCTTTTGCTTCATAAGGATGGCCCTTTTCGTTCGGGTTGTTTAAAACGCGATTAATGACACTAAAGTGGTAGCGCCAATGAAGGTATATCCACGAGACAAAACAAACGTCTCTTCCGAAGGGACGTTACCGATCGCCTTGCGGGACACCCTGTGCAACAACAACAACTGGACTCTTGTACTATGTTTCCGTTGCGGGCGCGAGTAATAACGGCCGGCACACGTGCGCGAAACGAGGTTAATGCAAGTTCAAGCGTCTCGCGGTGGAGCATTAAGGGTAAAATGCGGAACCGACCGCGCGCTCGGCGACGGCACACGGTGGGCATTAAAAAGTTTTCGCTGACCGGCGGCGTCGTTGGCTTTATGGTAACGCGCTCGCGAATGGGCGAGAGCGGCGGAGTGTTCTTCGTAGACAATTACACCGTTTGTCGGTTCAATTGCGCCAAGATGAACGGTGTCGAGTCGGCGCGCCGCTCGACTGGACGCGCCTCGGTGCGTTCAAGACGCGCGACTCACGTCGCGCGTCTTCCTGATCTGACGATCGTGCGCGCACGCAATGCTGCTTCTCTTTCCGCACGCTGGCAAATTTCAGCCTTTGCGCTCGTAATCATTCGAATCCTAGCCGACCAGCTCGTCGGGTCGTAACGCGTTTTTCAACTTGTGCCTTGCGCGGAATAGTAAGAGAGAAGAATGGACGTGGGCTTTCCTTCACGATGCACGATCTTTGCAAAGCAAGTGATTCAGATGTTTAATATTTCTCTTTAATCTCGGCGATTGGAAAAGATATACGTGGACAAAGGAAAGCCTCGAGCGGAAGCTTCGGTTCGTTGCCGTCGAGAGAATTTGGGATTATCCTACTTCGCTGTACTCGACCGCGATAATCGTTCATCTTAACTCGGCTTTTACCATCCGCACAAAATCCAAACAAAATACGCACCAAAAATTCCCCTCGCGTAATCTCGCGTTATTAATAACTGTTATGCTAATTCGTCCGGTCGCGTCCGTTTAAAGCCCGGTCTTACGTGCGCGCGCGACAAATTTGTGGCGAGGCCTTTTCATGCCGCGATTTTAAACCGCACGCGCGGTTTTAAACGGCACACCCGGAATGATAAATTTCATCGAGCACATGCGCGGGACGGCACCGGCACGCCAAACGATCGCATTGACCCTCGGATTCCGCTAAGCGGCGGAAAAACGAGCGATCGTGCGTCAAGGGAGGGGGAGAAGACGCCACGGGGAAACCGCACAAACAAACTTTCGTATTTTCCCTCGGGGATTTACGGTTACGACGAAACAAATGCCTCGCCAACCAGTTTGTCTTCCTGTCGTCGGCTCAAGCGAGGAATATGCAGATGAAATGATCAGGGACGAGTCGTTTCCCTTCCTTTCGGAGGCGCAAAGTCGCGCGCGAAGCGAAGGGAACGCAGCGTCCGCCGCGTGTGTGCTTCATGGATATCTCGACGACGACGACGACGTCGTCGTCGTCGTCGTCGTCGAGACGTAACGCGACAGATATACATAGCTGGCAGGTGATCTCGAATCAGCGCGAATTAATTACGTCGCGAGCAAGACTTTGCGAGTTTGCGTCCCTTCAGAGAGCTTTTGAGTGACTTGGTACAAACGCAGGCAGTACGTCGGTCTGCGTTTAAGGGGGGCGCACATCCCCCCTCAAACGGCGACGCATGACGACGCTCCTCACGCTAGAATCTCGCCAGAGTTCTCGCACTCGCGAGACGGTGAATCCGTGATTCGCGGTGAAGCGCGAACGCGACTCCGCGGCGCCGCGGGCTATCTTTAGCCCGCGATGTGATCACTCTGTGAATGCACCCTTACTCGCGATTAAAACGCCGACCACGTAACTTCCTAACAAGTCTCTTCCTCTGTCGCATGAGCGAACTGGTCTACCCTGCGGGCGCGAGTGCGCTCGCACTCGAATCCGCCGCGCGGGGCGGTTCACGCGGGGTCAAAGTCAACTGGTTTCCCCCGCCCCATATTTAGCAGGGGCAAAGAATATTTCTATCCTAGGGACGATTTCGCCGTAAATGGCGGCCCGTTACGGGCGCGAGTCGCACAGGATTACATACCGAGGGCCGGCGCGGCGGTCCTGGAAACAATCTTAATTTGTCTCGCGATAAAAGGAGAAACCGGCGAGAGATGTCGCAAATATTTCCGTGGTACTTGAATTATTTTTTACAAGTCACAAACGAAGGAGGAGAACGCTGGTTCATATACCGACGCTAAATTGTCGGCGACGTTGACAAGAATCGAGAAAAAACGAGAAAGACAGAGAGAGAGAGAGAGAGAGAGAGAGAGAGAGAGAGAAAAAGAAAGACAGAGAAAGAAAAAGAGGCATAATGGCGGGTTTACATCGTGTATGCATTATGAGTGAATCCCTCAAGTCAAGTTTAATTAACAAAGACTGTCGCGTTACTTTTTAGACTCCGCTGGCTCTTCCGAAGTCCTTCGCGAGTCGAAGAGCGACTCTTTTAAAGGCTATCTCGCTACATTGATTCTGCTCGCTCAAAGTCACCCCAACGATGGCGGAACTTCGGCGCAAATGCTAAGAATAACGTGTATCTCTAAGCGTGAGCGATGCTGCATGCAAGCACGCGGACGGATGATTTCTGGAGAGATGTCAAGATGTCGTAGCGCGAGACGAGCGAAACTTGTAGAATCCGCGAGTCTTGCTTCCCCGAGACGATGCCTCTCCTTATCTCTGTAACCTACTCGCACACGCGCGAAGAGTGATATAGAAAGTGTAATTTCGCCGTGCATGCTGTCTCAAAGAGGAAACCAAAAATACGTCATCGGCCGATACGCGAGCCGTTAGACGCCCGCTTCCGGGTTATCCTTCACTCGACTGTCAGCTGCAAAGAAAAGAGCAAGGTGGCGGCGCACGGCGGGTCGTCGAGACGCGGGACGAAAGTAAAGAAACGCGCGATCAATCGCGCGTCTCTTCCGGGCCCCCCGGTGCTGCCGCGCTACTGATTGGAGGATATTACCGTCGGCATTTTTACGCCGATCTAACGAGGATGTGTGACGGATTCGCTCGCACGTGACCGGCGCTTTCCCTCGCGCCGCGCCGCGCCGCGCCGCGCTCTCTCGCGAATCTTCTCCGCAACACGGACAATTCACTCGCATTACATACGCGATACATGAAAAGATACATGAAAAGAAGTTACACCCGGAGAAGCCATTCGGTGCAGACGTGTGCCGGCGCGGCGCCGCGGGCCATTTCTATTTTGCTCGCGCTAGTCGGCGAGCTCGGGAAAACGAGCGCGCGCGGAGCGTGTCGCCGCTTGAAAACGGTTCTTGGCTCGGCCAAGAAGGGATCTCTGCGCGACGCGAAGGAGACCATCGGTGATAAAATACACTCGGGTGAAAGTATTCTCAGAACATTCTCGAGAGATGTTCGGATTCTCGCAGAATCCCGGATAATATTCGCAGAACCGTCGCTTTGTCCCGAGAATACTCTTGGAACCGTCCCAAGACGCTCCCGCAGGTAACGCGCTCGCGGAATACACTGTCAGGATGTCCTCGTGTCTGGAAAAAGGACGAGGACGCTCGCAGCCAAGGGGATTAAATCTCCCTATCGGCATCCGACATTTAAATTCGCATTTGCATCGGTCGCTCTCGGCCGCGAGCGTCTCTTTCAGCGGATTAGACGCGCGAGTCAGTCTTCCTTCTTGCCTTCCTCGAGCGCGTGCGTCGCGATGCACGTTCGTCCTCGGCGCGGTTACAGCTGCCGGGACGATCGCTTTTTACGCGGTGCAAATTGTTAACGCTATTATCACCGGGCGATCCCGACTTCTTGCGCCGCTCAAATGAGCCGCGTGGGGCTCGGCCGGTCGGCCGGCCGGCCGAGCCGATGATCCGTGAATCAACCGCATTCTCGCGCGCGAATAATTCGATGCTAACGATCGCGAACAATGCCGCTTTTTCCGTTTCCCGGGAGAAATGAGACTACATCGCTCATACCTACGTCGCGCGCGTGCACGCTCGTTTATTAACGAATCCGCGCTGGCCGAGAGAGTGCCTGACCATTTCACAGAGTGGTCGTCTAATCTATTCTAGTCCTGCCG